ACCCTCCACCCCAAAGGCTGAGTTGGGCCCCTTCCCGAATGTTGACTTGACCCCCAATGTTTTTGGTAGGAATGCCACAAAAAACGTGGGTAAAAGATGATCATAACGCAAAGATCATCTTCTTTGATCTTCTGCGTAGTAGCGTCCCGTACCACTCTTATAACAAAAAGCTTGCTTTGCTCGGTTGCTCATTTGATCGGGATCACTGTGATTTGGAGATCCACGCAGTGGGATGAGCAGGGGTCTTGGTGGTTTTTTGTTGCTGTGAAGACCGTTTTAATTGTTAAGAAAGTGGATACATAATGTGATTACGTAGACACATGCCGCTCATCGAATACTGAAAATCAATTCTTGAAGTTAGCATCTACTGCATAATTCAATCAATTAGCTGCTTTTTGTCCTGCCTGTGTTGCGTCGCTGACCTGTACCAGCACCAGTGTTGGCTTCTGACAGTCTGCACCAGTATCGACGCTGACCTCCGACCGTCCATATCAGCGACTTGTGTTGGCCTCTGACCGGCCCCTGCAGTGTTCGCGTGTCTGGGCTTCCTGTCGCCGGTCAACCGCGGCTCGCTGATGACCTGTGGCCTCATGCTGTGCGTCTGTCTGGGTACACCCGCCGGTTACGTGTCCGCCCGAATCTACAAGTCGGAAAGTGACGGCGAGAAGTGGGGACTCGACGTGCTGCTGACGTTGACTCTGTGCCTGGGGTGAGCCGTGCCCAGCTGCCGACGCGCTGCCCGCATCGGGCCGTCGCTCTCTCCGGGCAGCGTGTGCGCCGGCGCGAACGCTGCGCCGCGCCCACCCACCGCACTGACACATAATTTGAACCGTTCATGCGTGCATCCTATATGTGCCATTTCGGCGTCGCGGTAGATTTAGAACTTGACGGAAACACACTTGGGAGTAACATGTATCAAGCTTACAAAATTGCCTCGTTTAAATGGGCTGATCTGATCGGCTGATCGTGGACAAGCGTATGCAGGTCACCATCACTGGTCCGTCGGGGCACTCCGGTGTGGCATACCCAATTTTGCACCGCCGACATCTGCCGGACGAGACTGGAGATTGGCGAAAGAGAGCCTGGCGAACAGCCGCACCTGACACTCCGATCCCAGTAGTTTGCATTCGTCATGACCAGCTAGCCCTGCTTTGCTCGTCCTGGTGGGCGTTAGGCATTGTCCATTGAGGAGCGCAGCTCCTGGTGGAATATCATTTGATATTTGTTGGGGAGTGAAATGCTAGTTTTCCTTATCGTTGGATGCAGAATGTGCCTTCCCAAAGATGTGTTTACGTCTGAGTTACCCACGTTTTGTGGATTCACAAAACAGGCTGAACAAGTGAAACCACTTACTCGCTGCTTGCCTTGCTGAAATTGATTTGTATGTTGTACCCTGTGTTTTTTGGCCAGTCATATCATATCATGGTGTTTGGCCAGTCAAATGCAGAGTTACTACAAGAATGCATGCTTAACCCATCTTCTCATGATGGCATTTATTATGAATGCAGCAGGGTATTGCAGTACAAAAACCATATCATTGTTCATTATGCCATGCCACAGTTCAGCACTGACGTAGGCCACAATGACACTGTTGACTTGGGCCATTTCGCAATGTACCACATTGGTTGACTGCTCTATGTCAAGCCTATGAGTAAACAGCTTATAGTTTATGGATGACTGGTAACAGCTGATGTAATGGTGCCAATGGACTATTGCGAGCCGGAATGCCATAGCACCACAATTATTATATCAGGGCTAACTAGCGATTGTATAAAACAATACCGTGCAAGAAAAGCATTCTTGGTGGCTCAGCCTTACCATCTAAAACATACCAATAACAACGATTTGTTGATCAGTTCATAACAATGCCACAGATTCATTGTTACATTTGGCATGTGACTGTACTTCCAGTTACAAATAACAAAGAAAACAAATGCTGCGTACATCACAAGATATCAATGTCACGACTACAGCGCTGCGGGCAAGGACAGATCGACAGTTCAGTATTGGCGTCCTCAACAGCCCGTGACAGGTGTCGGTAAGAGACTAACGACACTATATGATTGTTTCACAGCAAATCGTGTTTTTTATCGTACAGATTCTGAATAATCTGCCACACAAGCAGGCGATCGCTACGTTGCGTAAGTCAAACAGTCCACCAAAGGTTTTCTACATCAGTTTTCTTGACCAGTGTCAAGACAAAAATCCACAAACACGTCGTTCGCTGACCGGCCTTCCGGCTGGCTGGCGTAAACTTAAGCGTGTTTTGAGGCATTTTTTAGGTCTGGCTGCCAGATGCTGCCTGGTACTACTGTTGTCACAAAACTATTCCACGACGTCATCAATGATGACGTTGTGGGGCGCATTTTTAAGCTTCAAAATTTTCCTAAATGAGTCGTTTTTGAGCCTTGAAGTCTTACCAATAGTTACAACTAAGCTTCACCAATCATATCTGATGCTGATCTCAATATCGTCAAATGTGGAACATTCCCTCTAAGTATTCAAAAAGTGAATGTCAAATCGATGCCTCATTATTTTTAGCAACTCCGATAACAATGACATGTCCAATATATTAGGTGATCATTAGTTAGCAGACACTTCGTGCGGAAAATCATACTCAGTGACATGTTCACATCACCCATCTTGGATGCCTCCATTTTTTCATAATTGCAAGGAAGATATCTGTGGAATAGGAGCCCTATAATATGGTTACTTCGGTAAGAGTTTGAACCTGATTTAAAATCTTTTGAAGTTATATTGGTTTTCGATCGTTTTCAGTTGCAGTTCCTGGCAAACTCTAACAACCTTACCCTGTTCCCTGGGCGTTTCTGCTGCCTCTTTTCTCCTTCTCCAATGCATATGTGACTTTTCTTACCAACCCTTTTTACAAAGAAGTTCATGTAATGCATATTCATGAATCATGCCAGCCATCCATCCTTTACTCTCTAGCATCTTTGTGCGAATGTGCTACATGCCGACCAACGCTACACGGCAGGATAGAGTTGTCGCCTGAAATTCTAGCCGGAATCATGGAACAAATACCGTCTATTGCATTCATCTTAGTTTGCCACCGGATGATTTAAAAACGGTCGCCAAACCAGTTGGCGGACAATCGCAGTTTCAGCCTCCCTTGAATGGTTCGAGATGTATTTCAGAAACATCCTGATGTGTGTTTTTGAGCCCAGGTGGCAAAAGGTGAAAGTTCCATAGTACGCATGCGTGAAGACGACTTCAAATTTCGGGGGAGCGCCTTTTCAACGTTTTGGATTAGGTTTCGTTTTATTTAGGTCATGTTTTGAAATAGCAAGTCTGACTATAGGACGAATGCTAAATTTTTGTAAACCATGCTGCAAGCTCACACTGCCCACTCCCCCTGCACTCTGACAGAAATATTCAGATGAAAAAACCTTTACCTAACTATGGTTTATTTCGCGTCGTCGCTAGCCCAACACAACACAAATTCTTGCCCGCATGTTGATAACGTTCATTGGGACAAAGGAAGCAGTGCGTTCCTAGAGTATCAGAATAGGTCGTAAACAAACAATATTGTCTTAGCGCTGTCAGGAAAATGAAAGGGATGGATAAAGTGAAGCAGACAATGCCTGTGAGCCACAGTGCTAACACGCAGCCTCATCAAACTATAGTGGATGTATAGCAGATACGGATATGCTTCCTAGGCGTGTCGAGATTTCCAAAGGGCAGCAGGAACACATCATCCAGATCTGATTGCATTGATCCTTAATTCAGTGCATAGCACTCCCAAAGTACGCCGGCTCGTTACATATTCTTATGAAAAGGTCAAGCAAAGCAGCTTATACAAACTGCAGCGGATTTCGTGGTGCCGGTTTGCGGCGGTGTCTGTAATCGATTCCGATCCACCATCCAGTGGAAGAGCGGCGTAAGTCAAATATTCTTAACCTAGATTAATAGCCTAATAACCACGACACATTGATGGGAAACGTATTTTTGTTAGATTTGCTGACAGCGTTTAACCGGATTATTTAGACTTTGGTTGTACAAAGCTTGTCAATCGTACATCAAGGTATTCACCTTTTGAAAAGAGGATGAAGTTTGTGTAAGAAGATTGAATGGAGTATTCCACTTTTTTGTACTTTTTACTACTGCTTATTTAGTTACGTTTTATTGCTAAGTCAGTCCGAAACGACTTGATCAATTATACCAGTCTCTTCAAAGTTCTTTAAAATAACTTAGAAGTTTGATTTCAGCAGTGAACTCTGTAGAAGAAATCGCATTTGACTCGATGCTCAACACTATGCAAGCAATATACTTCATTTGCATTGTTTTGTTTCCAACGTGTATGTACTATATTGCTTGCTACACGCTCATGTGTCATATTCACACTCACTCCCACTGTGCTGAGGCAGGATATTCGTGTGGATTTATTTGTACTGCATTGCTTTGATTTGTACTATATTGCTTGCTGCACGCTCATGTGTCACATCCACACTCACTCCCACTCTGCTGGCGCAAGATATTCGTGTGGAGTTTGAATACCCGCCTGTTTAATTATTTCCGGCCGATCACCAACATAATCATACCGCTGTTGGTGATCGGCCGGTCCGGCCGATCACCAACAGCGGTATGGAGAAATTAAGGGCGAGAGCAGAGCCGACGGCCACTTTGAGCCACGGTACCATCACGCTGACGCTCTGGGTCCTGATGGGCGGCCTACAACCTTCCCTGGCCTAGCTCTGGAGCCGCACTGACGGTTAGCGACAGCGGGATCTCTTTTTACTTGACATCTCGCGCTATGGTAAATGACCAATTATTTCGGGATTTACTGACGCGTATTTCAACGAACGCGTTAGAGCTCTTTCCAAAGTATGTGTGCCAAGCGTAAGCTGGCTGAATGTCACAAATAAGAAAACATGAAATCGATTCAAGAGGGGTGTAAAGATTCAAGACGTACAAAAATAGCCATGCACAAAATGCATTCGATATTGCTTATCGAGTGACTTTTATTACTGCCATCGTATAATGCCGGACACCGAAGATTAAGTCACAAACCTCGGAGGCTTTCATGCGCTTTGCCACAGAGCTGAAAGGTGCTTCTGAATTAGAAACGTGAGCGTTTATTTTGTTTCATAACGCTATGGTTAACAGGATGTTTCACCTTTCTCCCTAAAACTATGTATTTGCACGAGTCGGGATGAACGATGTCAGATCACTCCCATGCCCTTCTCCTTGCTCTCTCCTCATTCTCCAATGACTCCTTATTTTAAAAAAAAATTCACAGAATGGGTTTCCGGACCCTCGGCAATTACTGTGGGCCCAAAATGACACGGGGAAGGTAGGGCAATCACCCGAGAACAGAAACACACACGCTTATGTTATACTGCACAAGAGTCCGCCGGGGAACACCATGATTTTCCTGGCGCTAGTGTACACCTTTCAACAATCCACTTTGTATGCTAGACGCACCGCACAGTAAAGCGTATTTAGGTGTGAATTCAAAGTCCAAACACATACACTGCACCAGCGGAGTGCGGCTTTCATACCAATGTGACTTTCTGGAATTTTCTTTTCTATATTCATCATGATCCGGCTGAGCTATGTTATGCTCATGATAATCCGTGTCCGTGCGCATTAATGTTGTTTGCTTCTAACATCATCAACATTTAAATATGTCACACATCAGGCTATTTTAGGCTTGCTTTGTGACAACTTTGATCAGAATTTTGTTACCGACGGA